CCTTTCTTCTCTCTCTCTCTCCTCCTCTCTCTCTCTCTTTTCTTTTTTCACTCGGTTATGAACGGAGCAAAGTACTCCGCTAAAATACCCACTTAACTCGATCGCTCGTCTTCGGAATCGTTACCTATTACAATACCCCGATCTATTCTTCTTCGTTATTCTCCTACACGCGCGGTGAATTCTTTCGGCTGTGAAACTCTATCTTCTTCTTCTTCTCGGGGGGAGGGGGGGGGGGATACGAGGAGGATATATACTACTCGGCTCGGTCAAAATTGTCGTAGTCGAAGCGAGGATCGTCGAAGGAAGCAAGGAGAGAAGAAGAAGAAGAAGAAGTGGAGGAGGAGAGGTCGATTCGCCGTTGCGGCGAGGATGTCCGCGACGAAATCGGCGGTTAGGAACGGCCATGAACCATTTTCGCCCTACGAAGGAGCAGCGCACACAGCACAGACAAAATAAAAATGCGAGGAGAGGAGCAGGGAGCAGGCGTTGAAGAGGAAAGGTGGGGGAGGGGGAAGATACTAGAGAGGGAAAGGAAGAGAGAAGGAAGGAGGGACGAGGAGAGAGGAGAGAAGCTGGCCAACTTCTCTCACCCGGTTTGGGCTGGCTTGGCCTTCCAAGGGGCCAGCCTAGATTCGAGATTCTCATCTCTTGTGCTCGGTCCACCGCGAGACGAAACTCGTACGCTTCTTCTTCTTCTTCGTGCGCGTGTTTTGGTTCTTCTTCTTCTTCTTTCTTTCGACGACGGAGTCGAAGAGAGAGAGAGAGAGAGAGAGAGAAGTTTGGGCTGAACTGTTCTCTCTGTCTCGTTGCCGGGGGGGCCAGTCGCGATTTATTAGGCGAGCTAATTAATAGGCTAACTGGGCGCGGTCGCGATAGTGTGCGTACACGTTGGTGTGCGTTTCGTGGAAATGAAGGGAACGATTCGCGATTTATTACAGCGCGAGAGATTCATGGTTTCGGCCGGCCCCCAAAACTTTCCTCCGCCGCGATCATCTTCCCGTCTTTTTTTTCACCGTGGAAGAAATAGAGGAAGCCTTTGGCCTAATGGCATCGACGCGATCGTAGCGCAGGAATTCCTTTAATTCGGATCTTCCCGCGATGAGGGATCGATCCTTCTTTTCACGGCCGGATTCCTTTCTGCTTGGACGCCGCGCTCCTCGGCCGCCATAATTCCACGTTTCGTCACGATCGTATTTTTTCATCGAAAAAAATCGAAAAATTTCACAATTTTGGTACGAGCGTTGTCCACGAATATCGTCGAATTCGCCTTCCCTTTCTTTCTTTCTCACTTATTCATCTATTCAATTTGCGCGATCAACATTCGAAAATATTTAATACGCGCCGTGGTTCGCGGTATCTGGGAAAATCACTCGGAATATCTCGAAAATCTAACGAGAAGCCGAGACTTCGAATTGAAATTCCTACGCTTATTGAAATATCGTATTTTAAATCGTTTCGTAAACACGGTAGACTGGGGAGGGGGGCTATATATAATAATTTTCTTTCTTTTTTTTTCCTCGATTAACTTTCCATCCAAGTTTTTCATTACGACGACGACGACGACACGCCCCCTTTTGAAACAGAAACATTTTTCATTCGAAAGAACAATTAAACGACCTCCATTGTCCAGCGACGAATTTCGAACGATTCCCGAACAAAGCTCGCGCAGATTAATTCCGCGTTTCCGCTCTCTGTCGCCTTTCACCCCAGCTTGCCCCGTGCCTCGGGTCGCGATACATCAGTCGCACGCTGCTGCAATTCAACGTGAAATCCAACCCGTCGTTCGCAACTCCGTCTTCTTCCTCCTCGGCCCTCGGCTCCTTCCTCGCCGTCTCGACTACGTTTCTCCCGCAATCCGTTTCCGCCCTCGATCTTTCCTTTCCTCCCGTTTCCTCCCCGTTCTCCATCCTCCACCTATCCCGCCTCATCGCGATCCGTATGGTGTCGCGAGTCGTCGTCGGGCTGGAGCCTCGCGATTCCTCTCCGACCCCAACCTCGCCACGGATGGATCTCGTCGCCACGTCTCGATGGAGCTTCGATGATCGCGCGCGTCTCGCAGCTGGAAAAAAAGAAGAAGAAGAGGATCGATCAGACGATTGGAATTTCCTTCGAATTTAATTCGATAACGTTCTTTTCCACTCGATCATTTTCTACCGATCGTATAAATCGTGCTGGTTCGAGCTACCAGTAGCAAGCGACACCTTAACACCTCGTTACGAACGAGTGGTTGTATCGAGGAAAACGGATTCCTTTTTACGCATTCGCGAATACCAGGAATGCCGATGAATAAACGTTGGACTTTGAATTGACCTTCGACAACGTTCTTCGAGCTGCATTCTTCGAGGGTTGGTCGAGCTCCTTTCGCGCATTCCGACAACCCCTCCCCCCTTGCTCGCCTTCCACCACGCTCCCTCCTCCTTCCACCGCGCTCCAACTCCTCCGACGAGCCGACCACTCTCCTCTCCTCGACGCCGGGGGTTTCCGCGCCCCTGGATCGCGCGCTCGCCTGCTCGATCAGGGGGATCGGGGATTCCGGCAGCTGCAGAGAGACGATCGTCAAGAACGGCGCCCTCTCCTTTCCGATCCTCCTCTCCAACCACCACCTGTAACTGTTTCGTTCGATCATGTTACGACGATTATACGTCATCGTGGAGGGAATTGGACGGGTTTCCGGGCTGGAAAATTGAATTTCATTTTCAAGGGACGGGATCGACCTGATTAATAAACCTGA